TTTCAGTGGAACCTCTGCCTTCCAACAGCCGCCCATTTCATTGAATATTATCTCTCTGAAGCAGTACATGAAACAGATCTCCATGATGGTTGGCCAATGATTTGTTTGGAAAAAACTAAACTCTACATGGCCAAATATGCGGATTACTTCCTCGAAGTATCTTTGCAAGATTATGCCTTTCTAAATTATGCACCTTCTTTAGTAGCTGCTGCATGTGTGACTTCTTCAAGGATTATACTTCGTCTTTCTCCAACGTGGCCTACAAGACTACATCGTCTAGACTGCTTACTCCTGGGATTTCCTAGTGCAGTGCATTGAACGACTGTTGATTGCTCATGATAACGATGTGAAAGAAGCAAACAAACAGAGAGGGCAGGCAGGACCTCAGTCGGCACAACTCAGTGTGTTCCAGGCAACTTCCCAGCCCTCACTGCCAATTCATTTTCAACAACCCCAGTATCTCCATCAGACGCATCAGACTTCACTGCAGTATCGCCATCCTGCATCAGAACAACCAAGCTGTCAGGAGATCGTATCTACCACACACACCTCATCTTACACTTTACAGACATGTCCTGCTGGCTTCCAGACCAGTGTTCAGGGCCTTGGACACGTGCAGACTAGTGCTGGGATGTCACTAGCAATACCAGTAAAAGTTAAGCCCTGCCTGAGTGTCACTTATAACCAGAGTTATCAGATAAATGAACATTATCCTTGCATTACTCCATGCTTTGAAAGGTGATTACGTATAAGGATAAAACCTAACTACATCTATTTTACTACTTGAAACTCTGGGGGAAAACTGTTTTAAAACTTCTCTTCAAAAGAAAAGGGTGGAGTGGCAGCAGACCTTCAGATAGCGCTCCAGTAGGATGGACTGTCCTTTCCGTGCAGCATGAACACCTGGGAAGATTAAGCTCTGGAAACACTTTAATAGTGTGACATCAAATCTTGTTAAATCCTATATGACAAATATGTTCAAGCCCTGGCTGATGGTCCAGAGATTTCACACATAATCAATACAACAGAAAGTTTGGACCAACTTCAGTTTGCCATATTGAGATTTGACCTGTGGTGGGCCCTAAGCCTAATGTTGCTTCTGTGTCAGAGACTAACACTTATCTGTGGACTTGCCAAACAGTCTTTAATGAAGGAAAGTTACAGTATTAATTTTTTAAGAAATCCTTTTTTCCTACAGTTTTGAGTTCTATTTTTGATCTGCAGATGAATTTTTGGCCAAGTTTAAAATTGTAGTTGTTGTCTTATACCTACCACTCTGTGCAGTGATGGGGGGAGGGGAGAACATTTTTAGATGACTCTATATCAACTTACCACAATTAGTATAGGTGTTTGGATTTATGTATTAAAGTTAAGGGTGAAGTAGATCTCTTATCTTAAAATCATGGTCATAATTTTTGTTGGTGGATGTTTTTTCCTTATCAGTCTCAGATAGATTAAAACACATTTAACTCAGGGACTTTATATTACTTAGAAACAACTATTATGCGGCATGCTTTGGGAATGTTATCATATGAACTACCTTTAATAGGCTAAATACTCATGGTAGGATGTGTTTTCAAATGAGAACGTACAATGCATCTTAGAATACGTGAAGTGGTGGTTCCTATGATTTATAATACATTTATGAGCTGTGCATTTCTTAGTGCAATCAGTGAGCTATACCCAGATTTGGTAATCTTCTTAAAAATGCTTTTTCAAGAGAAGGCATAACTATAAGTTCCCACTACTAGAGTAACTTCTGTAGGTTTATTTGAAGTGTGGCCAGGGTAGTTCTCAGGTTGTGCTAGAGCAGCACTTTGTTTTGTTGTGTGGAAAACAGGTTTCATGAGCAACCTTTGACTCCAGCTTGTCAATCTTAAGCAGGCAAAGGTACCTATCAGTAAATGTCAGTAACTGCTTTTGTTGAATTGGTCCCAGAACTGTCCTGGGACATTTCATTGTACTGATAATGAATGAAACAACAATAATAGGCATTATAGCTGGGCAATTTGGAGTAGAGTTTGAGGTGTATAAAGTTTTTTAAAAAAGGATTTCTATAATAATTCATAAACTATACATTGTACCTTTGAGGGAAAAGTTATTTGGTGAAGGGAAGCTTTCTGATTTAAAAATTAATGAGTATCTCTTTATCTTTTTTTTTTTAAAGATAGCACTTGAATAGAAGGGAGCCTACATGGCAGGTATGTGGCTGCCATAATATGCACTGAAGATAAACGTGTTATTAAAAAGACATGGGTATGCAGCAGGAGTCTCCGCAATCAAGCCAGTGGCTTTTGTTGGGAAGGGAGGGGTCTCAACACACAGCAACAGACTGACTAGGTGGTTCCAGTGGGTAAACATGAGTGATTGACCTTGGACAGTGTGATTTCTTAGAGAAATACCCTTTCCTTAAAATGAAGCTCACTTATATTTAGAGTACATAAGGAATAATGTGTGGGGTTTAAAGTCTGATAGGTAAAATAACAGAAAAGACCTCCTCAGGTAACAGAAACATTCACTTGTGGCAGGTTTTGAGCATGAAAACTGCTTCCTGAAAGTATCACTTTCCCTCTCTGCACAGGCTGCTTATTGGATTGTGGTATGTCCTGTTGTTGTTGTTGTTATGTGCCGTCGAGTCGCCTGCGACTCATAGCGACCCTATGTACAACAGCCCTAAACTCCGCTCTGTCCTGTGCCAAT